CTTGCGCTTCCATTGGTTTAAGGATGATCTCCAGGAACCGCCATATGAGGACGAGAATGGGGACCAGCAGCTTGGACTACCATAAGCCGCGGGAAGGAGGAGCGGTCTGCAGAAGAGAAGGCAGAGGGAGGGATCCTCATAACCAGTCAAAATAAGTCTAACCTTGCAAGGACAGGACTGAGACACAAATGAGGCTAGGACAAAGGAGAGGGAGCAGCAGGGAAGGGACGTACAACCAGTTCAGAAGGGGAAGGATGCCAAATACTGAAGGGGGAGAATAAGGGATAAGGGACACCAATTAAAGCGTCAGGGGAGGAAGCAAGGTTTAGGGTTTAGGGTTTTACAACACTTAAAAGGCAGAGAAAGGGGTTTTGGGGAACAGGGGAGAACACAACTTTTGTGAAGGATTGGTAAAAAGAGGAAGGTAGGTCACACGACAGCAAGGGAGGTTCTCTTCCTAGGTTTAACATGGATTTCTGGCAGAGCTGTTAGGGCAGATCTGAGAGGGAAGAGAGACTCAAGGCAAGCTGACAGTCAATCCTCCACCAAGGGTGGAGTAATCAATGCTGTTCAGGGGTCCTCCGGCCGGACGGGAGAAAGCGTGTGTTTTTATTCTGTAATGTATTATGCTGTGACTTGCCGGTGGAATAGGAACCGGACTGACGCTCCCCAGAATAGAAGGAGCTGGGTCCATAAGGACCTATTTGTGAAAAAAAAAAAAAAAAAAAAAAAAAAAGACGATACCGAAAAATGCAGAAGACAACAGAAGAATGCGGAAAATTGCAGGAGAATGCAGGAGGAGAGTATTAGGAATGAATCTGCTGGAAAGCAGGTCCAACGTCCCTTAAGATAGTATGTTGACTGAGAAACAGAAGTTGCTCCTGCTGGCGTCCCGGCTTATGCCGCTGGTAGTGCTTCCACCAAGGACAACGGGTGGGGGGGGAAGGGGTCTGCGAAGTCCTGGGCTGGCCGTAGTGAGACGCCCAGGTCCACTTTAGTCCAATCATGAAAAGGTAGTCTCTTGCCACTTCCTCCCGGGATTCGTTACTCTGGTTGAATTCGGACCACTTTATCTCTGCCACCCAGCCTTCTCTATTCCCGCCCAACCAGTCTTTGCTGAAACAGGAGATAATCTTGTTCATGTCCCCCCAGGTATATGACTGATCGAGCTTGTCTTTAGCTGCTTTCCATTGGGTTGCAATTTCATATTGAACCAGTGTTCGTACTTGCTCCATCACTTCTCCGTCCTCTACCTGCGCCCCCTCTATCTCCAAGATACTTCGCTTCCACCATATAGTCCATAAGACGCTCCGCCTACCCAGTTTGAACATATTTTCCACAAATGTATTTCCCCGGATTGAAGGGTGATATCCTAAGAGTATGGCCCTCCAATCCCAAGGCCACGTCACACCGGGAGCAATGTGTTGCCAGATCCTGTCCCAGCTTCTCCACAGTAACACAGACGCAGGGCATTGGAGAAAGATATGTTCTATAGTCTCTGCCCGCCTCGTCCCAGGGAAGCTCTGAAGGCACTTGTGGCACCATGGTAGTGCTTTCCCTTGCTGTTCCAAACGAGTGTGGCCTATCAGCCAATCGTTGGTTGGTAGACACCTATGTTCAATTTGCCATTGGAGGGCTGAGATTTTGGCGGGTCTGCAGCTATAGTGAGCAAACCATCGAATGGGCTTAAGTAGGCTGCGGTCTACGTTGAGATGGCGATACCATCTGTCTTCCACGCGGTCCCGCAGTCTGCATTTGGGCCTAAACATTCGGTAGGCTGATTTAGTTTTCAGACTGAACAGTGTCAATATGTTGTCCTCTCCTTTCCTGGTTGGGTTACGTTGATTCCATCGCCACTCTCCAGGGTCTAAGGGGAGGTCCTCAATTGGGGTCCTTGGACAATACACTCTCTGGTAACACCCTTCCTCAATAACCCTGATGCGATACATATCCTTTTGCTCTCTCCATATGAAGGGTTGTTGGTCCCATTCTAGTCTATCGTCCTTTTGGATAAAGAAGATTTGTATTAGTGCATGTCCGGGGGCTGTAAGGTGCACATGCCCTACCTCTTTCTCCCGGTCAGGTAACCCCACCCAATCTCCTTCCTTTATACATGGACCTTTTCTGAGGGTGGTGTACCAATGAAGGGGGAAGCTCTCAATGAGGTCGTTGAAAGCCTTCTCAGTAAGGTGGCAGTACCACAGCCATGTACGCATCCTTTCTTTGCTCTTCCAGTTTCCGGCCTCTCTATCCCAAAGGTCCCCAACCCTCCGGGCACCATGCTTTACCCAACCTTTCCATGGGGCCTCCGAGCTGTTCCGCACACGCCCTCCAAGAACTGTTATTAGGCGGTTACCGAAAAGGGGTTGCCTAAATATCTCTTCCCACCTCTCAGGTGTAGGTCGAAGTGGAGGGGGGAGTCTCCTCCAAGTACGTACAAGGTATACCCATTGTTTGTCAGAAGGGTCCCCATTCCTGTACTTCCTTGGCAACCTCCAATACCTGTCTTCTAGCCATATTCTAGGGTCAGTCTTAGGTGGGGATTCCGGGGCCAGGTCAGAAATTTGTGCCAGGGCCAAGGGAACCCGAGGGGATGATGCAGAGAAAATAATGCGTTGAAGCCAGCGAATCATGAGGGCTTGGAATTGTGTGGCCGGATCCACAATTCCAAGTCCTCCTCCACTTTTAGGTTGAATCACTGACTCCCAGGCCACTCGACTTATGGCGTGGGATTTGTTGTTGTCGCCTCTCCAAAGGAAGGCCGCCAGCTGTCGTTTGAGTGTCTTGATCCCCCCCGCACTCAAGGGCCATAGAATGGCTTTGTACCAGAGGGTGGCTAGAACTACGTTGTTTATAACAAGCGCTCGCCCAAAGATGGAGGTGCGTTTGTTGTTCCATTTCTCCAATTTGGATTGTGCCGGTCCGGCCAACCATTCATCATTGGACGATGGTTTCTCATTGGCAGTAACAAGTGCCCCGAGGATTCTTAGAGGGTCGTCATGGGGGCGCCATGTAATCTGCAGAAATTCCGGAGGTAAGGAGACTATCACTCACCCACACCAGATGGAAAACTCTACAGACTGTCGGTTATATATCGTCAAACAGTTATATCCTGCCTTTGGCCTACCGACACTAACCTACCTACGAGCAGCGAATATGGTGCATTCAACTGGGACTGACACTGGGACTGGGGATTGGGAATTTGGAGTGGAACTGGGACATGGACCGAGGCTGCAGCGGAGAAATCCTTTCACTTCACACACATCTATATAATTTTTTGAAATCAGTAAATTACTACAAATCTGTCAAACCCCACACCCTTGAAGACATCCACTAATTACTACTCAGGCTGCTTTCTGTTTTGGGTTCCTCATCCCCTCCTTCCCCCCGCTCTTTCCCTCCCCCCCACCTCCACTTCACCTTTTTTCCCTCCTCCCCTCATTCCCCTGGAAAAATTATGTGCAATACGTGTTCAGTCTGAGAAGCTGTGAACCCTGTTCGTTTTTTTGTTTTTTCCCCCCCTGATAAATCACTGTCTTTTGGCAGAGTTCTTGTTGACATTCTCTGCATCTGCTGTTTTCTTCTTTTTTGGGGGGGCCCGGGGGGAAAGGGGGGCGGACTTGCCCGTGATATGAACAAGGGTCTTTCTGACCCCGCCCATGTGGCTGAACGGTGAACACCTGGAACTTTTCATCATGACTTCACGAGTTCGAGTCCTGCGGGAATCACATGGACACAATAAGGTTAGGGGCTAACCCCTTGGGAAAAAAAAAGAAGGAACGAGTGTCTTTCTGACCCGGCCCTTCGTGGCCCTTGGAGCTGAATGGTACACATCRACTCCTGACAGAATCAGATGCTGTGCTGTGGAAGTCGACTATGCGTCGGGACACGAAGCCTGACGCACTTGTTCGTTTGAACAGAGTGCACACACCCGGAGTACACACTTCTTACGTACGAGTCATCATCCGCCACACTCACACATTCACCTCAATCCTTCTCTTAGCAACCTCCATAGGAGAG